GAGCTGTCCTGGGGTCCCTTGGATGCTGTCCAGGAGGTGAACTCTACACGAGTGAGGCCCCAGGATGCCAGGGCTCTGGCTGCCCAGCCAGACCCAGGGGAAGGTGGTCAGAATGGACCCCACCCAGCCAGCCAGCCTGCTTTCTGGCTCATAGGAGGTAAGGGGAAGCAGAGGCCCTAGGGCTCAGCATCATGTCCTGCCTGGTGTCTCCTCTGGGGTTTGGGGGAGACCATATACAATATGGGAAGAGAGTCACCTTGCAGAAGGGAGGGCCTTCTCAGAGAGCTGATTCTCGGCCCCTTTGGCCTAAGGCTGGCCAAGCCCCCTCCATGACTGGGGTGGAAGATGGGGGCCTGCACCCCTGTCCTCCTGGTCCCCTAGGGTATCACAAGGGAAGCTGGGGGAGGGGAGGGGAAGGCCCTGGAGCCAGGGAATTGCTCCAACTGCTGCAGAAGCCTTGTCCTTCTTTATCAGGCCAGCGCCTCCCAACGCCAGGTCCCCCAGAGCAATCCTGAGCCCCCTTCTGCAGCTGGCCGTCTCCCATGCTATCCTTTGGGTGGCGGGAGTATCCTTGCCCTGGATTCTGCCTGTCCTGCCCACTGCTCTGTGTCGTCCTTCACCCTGCTGGACCTGCCCCTCACTGTGTCACTGCCCCAACCCCGAATGCACTCCGAAGGGATGGAAGAAACTGGCTGGCAAGAGGAGGAGTTGCCAGGGCCCAGGTTTTCTGGCTCAATCGCCCAGTGTCAGGCGAGACTCCTGGGGCCCAAGGTAAGGGGGCAGGGTGGCCAGGCCCCCAGCTACCTCCCAGCCCCTGGGCACCCAGCACCTCTGGGAGCTCGGCCTGTACATGAGGTCAAGGAAGATGACAGAATTGGCTGGGTCTGGCAGCCGGCCTGTGGCAGGACAGGGCTGAGGCCCCAGAGCCAGCAGGCCAGGCACAGAGGTCCCTCCGCTCCCCCATTCCCACTAGCAGTACCCTACCCCCACCTAGTGCAGGCCGGGCTGGGGCTGGGCCTGGGCCTGGCTGCCTCGCCCTGGCTACCACAGCCCAGGCACCCACAGGGGCCCGCACCAAGGCCAATCCCACTTCTCAGCCCTGGGGGCTTAGGTGCCTCCTGAGGGCTTGGGTGAGTCTCCAACCTGTCCTGTTCCGGGGGGGACGTGTGGCGACTGTATGCATATGCCTGTATGCACCCACGGATACACGCACACATGCAAGCACTCGTGTTTCCAACACAGAAGCCCATGTGTGTGCACACACACGTATGGCCCCTACCCTGGTTGAAGAGCCCGGGTGTGCACCAGGACCCCTCCCAGCACTCACACAAGTGCTCCCTTGGTGGCCACCCTCCTCACACACGGGGTGGGGGCATGGCAGGACTCAGTGCATCCAGTGGGCAGAAGCAGTGGCTCTTACCTAGGGGGTGATCCTCCCCCCAGGAGATGCTGGGCGGTGTCTGGAGGCATTTGTGGTCGTCATGACTGGGGGGGCTCCTGGCATTGAGTGGGTGGGCATGCCACTCAACAGCCCACAGTGCCCAGGACGGCCGCGCACAGAGAATGATCCAGGCCCCAGATGTCAGCAGGGCTGGGTGGAAGGACCCCAAAGGCCCGGGGGTCATCTTCCCATCTCTGAGCTTCCTGTTTCCCAACCTGTGGTACTGGGCCCAGCAAGGGACCATCTGTCCAGGCTGCGTGAGGGTAAGGCAGTTCCTCTGAGCAGCGCCCAGGGCTGGATGGTGCTTCTGGCTTTGGGAAAAAAAAATCTACCCCCACCAGCCGGACTCCCAAATCAGGCTGCCCAGGAAGTGAGCTCGGCTGGACCGAGGAAGGTGGCCTTGAAGCAAGACCTCAGTTCATTTCTATTCCCTGAGTTCAGTGTGACTGGCAACCCCCATGGATACACACATGAGGATGGACACAGCTAAACACCCGCACCAGGAGATAGATGTATCACAGCCACACCCCAGAAATTGGGTCCCCTTCCTGTCTGATCTGAACTGTGTGCCTCAGAAAGATATGTCCACGTCCCAACGCCCAGAACCTGTGAATGTGACATTTGGAAACAGGGTCTTTGCAGGTGTGATCAAATTAAGATGAGGTTGTACTAGATTAGGGTGGCCTTTGTTTTTTTTGGTTGCATCAGGTGGGATCTTAGTTCCCTGACCAGGGATCGAACCTGCGCCCCCTGCACTTGAAGCACGGAGTCTTAACCACTGGACCTCCAGGGAAGTCCCTAGGGTGGCCTTAATGCAATGACTGGTATCCTTAGGAGAGAGGAGAGACACAGACAGAGAAGATGGCCCCGTGACAATGAGGCAGAGTTGAGGTGATGAGGCCATGAGCCAAGGAGCACCAGGGATTGCCAGCAACCACCAGAAGCTGGAACAAGTAGGAAGGATCCTCCCCTATAGCTTTCAGAGAGGGTGTGGCTTTGCTGATGACACCTTGATTTCAGACTTCTGGGCTCCAGAAGCAGCCTCAGGAAGCTCATACCTTACCCAACCCCTATATGCGTGCACACAGACATGCACACACACACTCACACACACTTAAATACATCCTTTCTCTTCAGCACTATTCAGTGAGCACTTCCTGTGTGTGTGCCAGGCCCTGTGCTGGGTGCTGGACCAGCAGTGCGGGGATCTGGGCTTTCTCAGAGCTGGCCTTCTGGCGAGGGGCATCTGTACACACCCATGCCATCCAGAAGCACATGAAGACCTGCAGGTGACGGTGTACACACAGACAGGGACAGCCAGGTAAGGAGAGGGGTGGGGATGATGAGGAAGGAGCCTGAGGCTTCCCCTGGGCAGGCAAGTCCAGCAGCCCCACCCCAGCACCTGGAGCCAACGTGTGTCTACAGACACACACACACGCACACGCACGGGGCAGGGGAGGGCTGGGGGCTGGCCGGGGAGCTCCCTGCAGGTCCCTCCAAACACCCCAGAGCTGGCTGAGGTCAGGCCTTACAGCTCCTGTGGCCTGAGCTGTGGCCTTAGGGGGCAGCACAGAAATAGAGGTAGCCTAACAGGCAAGGGGACGGTCCAGCTCAGGCCTCGCTGGGGGACAGTTGGGGGTGGGTGGTGGGAAGCCTCTGAAAGGACAGGCTGGGGCCTGGAGGAGAGGGAGGACAGTTCACTCCGCAGGCCTGTAACACTAAGAGTCCAGACACGGGGCTTCCCCGGTGGCGCAGCGGTTGAGAGTCCGCCTGCCGATGCAGGGGACGCGGGTTCGTGCCCCGG